CAACAGATGGTCATCCAGTTAATATCTTTTTAGAACTTTAGTGACCAGAACTTGATACAATATTCCAGGTAAGATCTGATCAATGCAGAATAGAGTAGTATTTCTACTTCCCTTCAGCTAGACAATATACTTCTGTTGATGTAGTTTAGAATTGCATTGGCTTATATGGCAACCTCATCACATTTTTGACTCATGTTTAGTTTGAGTCTGCTAAGATGCCTAGATCTTTTCAAAATAATGTATCGCCCACCCTATATTTATCTATTTATTCATTCATTCATTTTTCATGGCTAGATGTAATAACTTGTTGGGCGAGTGGGCTTAATAACCAAAGACCCTCCCCATAAATGTGTAGCAGAGCAACTCAGCAGCATGATCCTATGCAAATAATGTACACAATTCTTATGCATTGGAATATTTTCAGTATTGGTAACATTTAACACATTTCCTTTCTTCCCTTTATCCAACATAACATACAAGTTTTCATGAACTACACTCTCTACACATACTTCACCATTCAAAAATACTTTACACCCTTGTGCATTTAACTCAATTTTGTATTCATCTTCAGTTAACCTGGCAGCGCTTAATTAACAAAATTTTAGTTCTGGTGCACATGATACATTGTCTACATTTTTTTCTTAAACAGGGAATCTACACTTTACCAATACAATTGCATTTTTCATGAGCTCCATTTTCCAGGACAATATTACTAGTTCTGGTCTTCCTTTGATCAAACAGCAATTCCATAGAATTTACCATATGTTCAGAACAAGCTGAACCAAGAAGCCGTTTCTTTTCACTATTGGAATCTTCTTTCGTAAATACAGTAAAGGCAGTGTGGTCATTATTTCTTGCTTGTTGCCTCTGGTACCCTCAGTGGTCTCCTCTTCCTCTGTTCTTCTTTTTATTACTGGGGCAATCTTTAATGAGATGATTTACAGCTCCACACCCAAAGCATTTTCTTACATTGAACACCCTTGTGTAATCCTGGCTTCTCACAGCTTCTTTAGCCTTTCCTGTAGTAGCTACTTGATGGTCTTCTTTGCAGGATGACTCAAAATCTAGTCTCATTTCCTACTCGTAAAGCCTCTAAAACCCATAATCAAGGGTCCTAGCCTTATCAGCCACATTTTGCATAGCATAACAAAAATTGTCCCAATCCATGGATAACGAAGAAATTAAAATATATGCTTTGTTTTCTTCAGTATAACACATACCCCTTTCTTCCAAGTCCATGAACAGAGACCTTATCTGCTGCAGGTGATTTGTAATACTTTCCTGCTTCTGAAGTTTTAAATTGTATAACATCCTAGTCAGCAAAACTTTCATGCCTGCTGACTGGCTCAGGTAAATTTCCTTTAGGCTTTGCCAACACTCAGCAGCTGTTTGGGCGTGCCTTATATATGGCAGTTGGCAGTCCTCTAATGCCAATATGATAGAAGCCTTTGCACACAGATCTGTCATCAATTTGTCAGCATCATCTTCTTCTTTGTCTGGGGGATTCTCCACTACCTGGAGACACAAATTTTGTCTTAACAGTTTTTTTTTTCATTTTATATGACCATGTGGCATAATTGCTGGCATTCATTCTTTGAAAAGTCAGTCCACTTGTTTGAAATGCCATTGCCATATTTCTTCAGCTTCATTATGGTCTGTACTGGGCTAAACTGTATTATACTGGTCTATACTGGGCCTATAACCTTTGATAGGTGAGTGGGCTTAATAACCAAAGACCCTCCCCATAAATGTACAGCAGAACAACTCAGCAGCAGCAGCATGACCCAGCACAAGTAGCCCAAAGCGATAAAAGAACAAAAAGACACATACCAATGTTATATCTTCCAAAAGAGGCTTTTCTTTGTTGTAAAATAATATAGTTGACTATTTACAATAACAAGGTTTCCACAACACGAATAAACAAATACATAGCTTTATACACACAGCAGTCTTTATATACTGGAGCTCCACACACGAGGCTTTACTCTCATACAGACGCCTCCTCACACAGACCGATAAGTTCCCTCACTGAGGCAAAACTAACTCTTACAGGCTTCAGCCTACACACTCTCCTCAGGGTGACACCAGCCCTTGCCTGCTAATTCTAACAGGCTTCAGCTTAACTCTTTCAATGTTTGATTCACACTTTTGTAATCAAAAATACTTAGTTAATATTTAATATTTCTGACATAACTCACATTTATTCCTACAGAATTCCTTTGGTTAGTTTTCACCCAATTGTCCAATCTGTTAATGTCATTTTGTATTCTGAGCTTGTCCTCTGACAAATTTAAAAAAAAATAAATTTGAAAATTCTATTTAAGTCATAGTTGATATACAGATAATCAAGTCTTTAACATAAAGATTTAGTGTGCAGTAAGTCAGAGGAAAATAAATGAATTACAGAAAGAAATGCAACCATTAAATGAAAAACTTACATTCTTAGGCAACTAGATTATGTTGATGCAGAAAGATTTAACAGCCCTCTATTCCTCGGGATAGGTCTCTGAAGGCTCAGGGGAGAGTACAATGTTAGGTGTCCAAGAAAAATCAAAGTGTAAAGATTATTTAAGTAAGAAAAGAAAACTATTGTACTTTCTGGCGTATAAGATGACTGGGCGTATATGACGACCCCCAACTTTTCCAGTTTATTTATTATTTATTTATTTAGAAGTTTTCTGTACCAGCCTTCTCACCTCAACGAGGGACTCAGGTCAGTTTACAGCATATATGCAAATACAATAATATAGAAGTACAACAAATTGCAACGTCATTACATATTAAAATAGTACAATAAAAACATCATCATCACAATTACCTAAGCCAAGTCGTCAATCCAGTCAGTTAAAATATACAGTTTGGCATATACCCACCATATAAGACTATCCTTCTTCCAATGTCCTTTCCCCAAAACTTTCTTCATTCCAGGCTTGAGGGCGGTCTTCTGTGGGAGGCTCATGGCGAGGCAGAGCCAACACCAGGCGGGCGGCGATGGGGACAGCCCAGTGAGCCACCACCCCTGGCCAGTCTCCATGGCAATGTGGCCTGTCGCTCCTCCTCCCCGCGCCCTCCCTTCACCCTCCTCCTCCTCTGGCCACACCGCTCAGGGATGTTTTTGAAAACTTTGAAAATTCCCCAAAAATCTATGGATAAGTGAAACATTCTGAAACTTGATGGTGGTATGTGTGGTATGTGTTCTGCCGTTGTAGCAAGTTTCACCCCAAATAGCTGTAAAAATCAGGGAGAAAGGAGCCCCTGAAATTTCCCCACTTGCGCTTTTACTATAACAAACAAGTAATTAAATTTCATTACTCTCATTATAATAATGAAATTTTCACCAACTATACTTTTAGAAACACATTAGAAATGAAATGCCAGCGCCCCCTAATTTTGTAATTAGTTTTGAAACAATTTTTTCATCGATCACACAGCCCTCCTATATAGCTAGTGGAACCAGTTCTGTATAAGTGGAACAAATAAAGTTCAGACCAAAGAGTAAAGGGATCTCCTTAGAGTGATTAAAGCTTTGCAAGCACTGGAAAACCTGGCCCACTCAAAAAATATTGGAAGAACAAAATGAATCTGAAAGTAGTGTTTCTTTCATGTTGTATTTCAGAAACCTTTTTGCACAGTAAAAGGCATCTTTTTTCAAAAAGGATTGTATGTGGCAAGGAGAACAAGCTAAAGATCCAAACACACTAAAACAAACAGAAAATGCTATCAAAATATGAAGATGAACAAAATGTAAAATTGAATGAAAAAAGGAGGGAAGATAGCAACAGACCCTTCTCCAGGTGTGCAGCTGTTTCTTAATCCACTAGTCTCCCTAATTGCCCTGCATTCTTATTAATCTCTTTAGTCTCATAACTAAAATTTGGTCCTGTTTTGAAAGACAGCAAGGTGAAGAGAAACATCGTCTTTCCTCTTTGCTGCCCTGAAGTGGCATTCCTCATCCGAGGACAAATAATACAATTGATGCTTTTTGGTTGAATTCTAGACATAAAGCAGTCAAAAGTATTCAAACTGGAGTTTTTCTACAGAATTATAGTCCATTCTCCCTTCCCTATCCTTTAAACACAGAGAAACATGGTTTGAATTAATGCACAATTGATTGAAGGCAGGTGAAATAACTGCCTCACACAGGAAATACAATTCACTGCTGTAAGATTTGGAAATAGCCATTAACCCAAATTGCTTGAAAGGAGGATTATAAAAAAATCAAGAAAGTTGTATCTGTCAGCATATGTCAATCAGGATTCTGAACTAGAAGGAGTTTTATCTAAATCAGACAATTATGGTGCTCTTTCGTTCCTCTCTTCTTAACAGATAGTGAGATTGGAGGAGGTGAATAGTAGGTGGAGCTGGAGTACTTATAGTTGAGAACTTCCCTAGAACAAAGCGGCAGTGGAAGTCTATTGGATTATTATTCCAAATATATATATTTTTTCTTTTCTAAGAATCCTAAGAATCATGCAAGTCTTGTACAGACAAACATAGATAGGAAAATATAAGTAGGAAAACATAATATCCTGGTATACCTTTTAATGCATTACACCTTTTATACAACTACTCTATGTAACAATTCCTGCAACCTTTCAGGTTTCAAGACGTTTAAAGTGATTAGGGGCCTTTCCAGACAGCCCTATATCCCAGAATATGAAGGCAGAAAATCCCGCATTATCTGCTTTGAACTGGGTTATCTGAGTCCACACTCAGATAATGTGGGATTTTCTGCCTTGATATTCTGGGATATAGCACTTGTGGAAGGGCCCTAGGAGAAAATCATAAGAAAAGAAAGCCTAGCAGCTAAAACTTGTGTACAGATATTGTAAAGGTAATAGAAACATTTAAATAACCTCGGTGAATTCAAAAAGTGCATGCTGCACACATAAAACCAACATGCATCATCAGATTTGTAGTTCACTTTAATATTTAAACTGCTCAGTAGCTTTGGTCTCTTTTAGGTAAGTTTTCATTGTCATTTTTCTCATTATGCGCAGGAATGTTTTCAGTTTATACTGCCAGCCCTACCTCATGCCATTGACCTTTTGCGGGATGCCATTGTAAAAGTAAAAGAGGTGCATGATGAACTTGAAGATCTACCTTCACCGCCACCACCTCTTTCTCCTCCTCCAACCATCAGCCCACACAAGCAAACAGAAGACAAAGGTGTACAGTGTGAGGAAGAGGAGGAAGAGAAAAAAGATAGTGGAGTTGCTTCAACAGAGGATAGTTCCTCCTCGCATATAACTGCTGCAGCCATTGCAGCTAAGGTGAGTTGAGGTCCTGTGTAAAGAGGCACATGAGTTTCTATCTCAGGTACTTTCTTTGAACAGCTTGTTACCTTTCAGAAACACACATGATTTATCATTCTGTAAATACAGTGGTAAAACAGCGTGGTATTTAATCACAATTCAGTTTTCTGTATCATGTGTATTTTCTTTCATTTCTTCCACTTTATATCAAACATTACAATAAATACTAGGACAAGAGAGAGGCAGTTCTCCTCAAATAAAGGCAGTCTCTCATTTCTGTCAGTTCCGCTCTGCACCGGCAGCATCCATGCTGCATCAGACACAATACCAGAGGCCTATTCAGTCATCAAGAATTACTTTTCAGTTGGTTCCAAGGGCTATACTAAAGAGAAAAGAGATAGGAAGTCTCTCTCATCAAAATTCAAGCCAACACTTTTATTTCTAAGCACCCACCATTTTGTAGTATAACAGATCCTTGAAGTCAGGGGTCCTCAAACTTTTTAAACAGAAGGCCAGGTCACAGTCCCTCAAACTGTTGGAGGGCCAGATTATAATTTGAAAAAACATGAATGAATTCCTATGCACACTGCACATATCTTATTTGTAGTGCAAAAAAAAACACTTTAAAACAATACAATAATTAAAATGAAGAACAATTTTAACAAATATAAACTTATTAGTATTTCAATGGTAAGTGTGGGCCTGCTTTTGGCTGATGAGATAGGATTGTTGTTTTTGTTGTTTGCTTTCAAGTCATTTCGGACTTAGGTTGACCCTGAACGAGGACCAGGTAAATAACCTTGGAGGGCCGTATCCGGCCCCCGGGCCTTAGTTTGAGGACCCCTGCTTTCAGTGCTAACTTTAAAAACTTTTGAACACTCAGATCTCTTGGACTGTTATTCCACGATCTGTCACCGTTTGCCATACTAGCTAGGGCTTCTAGAAACAAAAGTAAAATGGTATTTTCTAATGCAGATGATGTAGAAATATTTCCAGAGCCACTATACTGCTCTAATCTTTTATTTGGTTAAAAAAAAAGTTGAAGTTTCCCTTATTATATCTGCTGCAGCAAAGATTGTGCTTTTACATACTGCTTTCAAATGAGCCCAGAACATGTCTGGGTGTCATTCTGTTGGAAATTGCATTCCTTTGCTATCTCTATGAGAAAATAATGTTTGTAAATGTTGGCATTAATACATAGTCTGAGTCAAACTTTGTTTGAGCCTCAATAACCTAGAATTGAATCCTATATTCTCAGCCAGAGTTTAGAAGTATGACACTATGTAACATGATATTTGTTCCTGGGTTATCAATGTCATTTCCTAATTCTATCATAAATACATGGGAAAAGTTTATTAAACTACAGAAACCTTGTTTTTGAGGAATATCCTACAGCACATTTTGCTGTAGTTTTTCAATGAATATCTCATAGAGTTGCAACCAATTCAACAGAGTTTGTAGCACCCCCAAAAACAAAGTTTCGGGAATATTACAACTGCTTTCAAAATAAGTACTGCACAGTTAAATAGGAAATAACACTTTTAAACCAAGAACAGGTTTTTTTTCCAAATTTTGTTACATAGTGTCATTCTATGAATATCTACTAAGAAGTAAATAATAGAGATGTGAGTTCAATGAGATTTGGGGTGGTTCCAGACAGGCAAAAGATCTCTTGGGATGGAGGCTACACAGCTGGCCTAAACCCCGGGGTTTTGTAGGGGGGTGTCCAGATACTCACCCCTGCTGATCTGAGATAAGCAGGGGTGGGCATCATGGGCACTGGCAGCCTTCCCCCTTCCCCCTGCACTTACTGGGAGAAGACTTGGACAGGCCTGAAGCCTTTCTCTGTTTCTTCCCTCTCCCTTGGAAGAGCCAAAAGAGGGCTTTGGGTAGGGGAGGGAGGATTTCTGCTCCAAGGCCCCTTGTTGGATCTTCCAGGGAGGAAGAAGAGAGGCAAAGGCATCAGGCCTATTTCTAATGAAACTCCAGTAAGTTGAGGAGGGGGGAGGAGCCAGGGAGGGAGTCCAGACAGGTGGAAGGGAAGAAAAACACACATTTTTGAAATGCAGTGTCTCTCTCTCTCTCACACACACACGTGAAGATGGGGTTCTGAGGTTTTCCTCCTTTATAGCTCTTCCTCCTGTGTTTTCAGGGAACATCATTTGGCCACCCTCTAGTTTGAACTGGGAGCTTTTGGGATAAAGGTACTGTAAGGATGGGCCCCTATATGCAGTTAAGCATAAGATTGCAGATTTCAGAAGCCATGTAGAGTTAGGTTAGGCATTCCCTGAGGGTATCATGAGGATCTCCAACTAGGGCTAGGAAATAGTCCTGTCTGTCAAATGATGAGAAGTAGATATTACTGGACTGTCTGGCATGGTGGCCTGTCTCCGTATATGGTCTCTTTACCTATTCCTGTGCTTTGCCGGTGAGTGCAGAATTAACCCTTCTGTGGAGACAGGTGGAGATTCTGTGCATAGGACACTACGATACCTAGCTGGGACTAATATAATGTTAGCCATTTGTCTCTTGGAATGTTTCAAAATATACATGAAAAACATTAAAAGCAGAAAATACCTGAGGTTTAAACTGGCTGTGCTCATTTGAACACTGGACATTTAGGTATTCCACCTGTTCTCACCCAGGTTTCCTCTGTGTCATTTTGCTTGTTTAGTTTCATGTTGTCCAGTCATCATATTCATAGTTGTTATGTATTGTACGTTAGAAGCATCCATCCTACATCGGTTCTGCTGCTTTCATGGCAAAAGGTGAACATCCCATTCCTGGTCTCATCTGTTATTCCCATCACTCAGCAGGCAGTGCAGGAGAACCGGTAAGACACACCTACCAGAAGATTTTGCATGAATATCTGCCAACATGCTGGCTGCCTTCTCTCTCTGTATAACAAGAAAATATAGCTGTTTGTTTTATTCCCACTGTTTTCTGAGCAAAGAAGTCCCAAATTACTACTTTATACACTTTTTTCAATTGTGTAGCATATAAGATTATTTCTTATAGGCTTGAAATAGTAATTTAAAGGTTTTTTGTTGCTACTTGTTTGAAGCCTTGTGTTACAGGCAGATATTTCTGGTAGATGCTGTTACTGATTATCCATCACTAATATTTCCTTACCGCTTACTAATCTTTTTCTAGTTCTGCTGTGAGTTGTTTTTAACTTGCTTTACCTCACTACTTTCTTTTGTATGTATGGCAGCACCCTCTTCCCAAATAAACAGTGCATTAAGGTGTTAAAGATTATGAACATTTTCATTTAGTCAAGTGTAAAAATCCCCATGCTGCAGCAAATAATAATTTCATCACATTACTGTTGGAATCCGAATAATATAATCCTTTTAACCTGGAAAATCGGCATCTAATGGTATTAGGAAGCATCCCCTTGTATCCACTGTGTACTCCCAATGCATATATGGTGAGATATAATGTGATGGAAGAAACAGCCGGAAAGTAGGGGGCTTCCTTCAGTTTGACCATTCCCTTTATACTTCATATATTCCAAGATGTCTGAGGAAAAAAAGCAGATTTCTTTTCACCTCATTGGCTTCTGGGAGGGATATGAATGAATAAAGGAGAAAAGGGGGAGGAAGGGAAGGCTTTCATTCCCAGAACTAGCCCTAGAGAAATGGGGAGGGGAATTCAGATGCAAGGTATAGCAAAAGTGTCTCCTTCTCTCTCATTTCCCAGCTATGCACCAATTTTCCCTTGGCATGGTATGCAGTAGGATAAAGTTAGCTGGAAAATTCCCATGGTAACACAAGTGTGATGTTCCTATTCTTCTTTTACCTGCATGCTCATTCAACCAACAAACTTAATCAAGTGGAGGTTTCTTCTGCCTGTTTTTTTCCTGTGGAGTAGAGATAAATTATTTTCAGTGTAGTACAGCTCTAGTTTTTCTATACCTACACTTCATTATGATTTCCATATTCCTAAAGCAATGGAATTAACTGCTTTGTTTGCCCTCAATCAAGTTGTGGAATATTACCAACAACTTGAGGAACACAGAATGTGCTCTTTTATTTTTCTCTTCCTCATATACCTTTTCTCGTCTTCCTTAGCTTGTATTTTCTTTCCCATCCTTCCTTTTTCCATCCTTACTCCAGAAACTTTGTTTTTGTGGCTACCTCAAACTATGTTGAATTGGTTGAGACTTTATGAGATATTCATTGAAAAAACTATAGCAATATGTGCTGCAGGATGTCCTACAAAAACAAAGTTTTTGCAGTTTAATATATCTTTTCCATGTTTTTATGATAGAACCAATTATAAAGTGACATTTATAACCCAGGGATAAAAATCTAGTTATCCATTGTAAGAGGCCACAAAACACACATGGACTGATTTGGTTTTAACCTGGGGAAAGCCGTTTAATGTGGCTGCACTCCAGGTTAGAATAACCTGAGAGGTAAACTCAAGGTAAACTCTCTGAAACCAAATCCAATGCCCAGTTACTGATTTAGAGAGTGAATCCATTTGTGTATGTTTAGTCAATCTCATCAGTAAAATTCTTCCTGTTGTGATGAAGCACGTGGAGAAATACAAAACACATTTCAAGCAGCAAGAAAATCAAAGGTATCCAGGTGCATTAGAATCTTAAATTTTGTTAAAATTTAGAGATTGGCAAACACGTGACTCAATACTTCAGTATTTATTTATGTGGATGTTTCCTGTCCTAAGAATTAAAAGAATAATGCTTTGTGGATGTCATTCTATGGATATTTCTGGTATACGAATCAGCAGATTCCCTGCATTTAAATAAATGAATTCCTGTGTGTTTACATAGGTCTTTTGTATAGTAGAATCTGAATGTGAAATAGAAGTAACGTTCACTTTCTTTTCTTTTTTTAGTTTTCATGCAATAGGATTTGCTTTCCCTATGAATTCCAAACATTTTTCCCTTAGGAAGTCATGAAGCTTGACTATAATAAATAATCTCCCAGCTCTCTAAGCAGTCTGTCTCCCTTTATTTATGTATATTTTCTGCCACAATATTGTTTCATGCTATATAATCATATTTTTGTTGTTGTTCTGCTCTGTTTGTTCTTGCCATCTTTATATATCTACTGAGCAGGGACCTTATGACCTCAAAGCTCAGTGGAGAATGTACCCATTAGTGGAAAAGAGGGGGAAGGGTAGTGAGGAAAAATAAAGGGAGATGCTAGGCTTTTTCTTCACCCAGGGCACTGTACCAAAAAAGCGTATAGAATAGATGTGGGAGGGAGTGAAGCTCCCTAAGAAAAATACTGTAGACACCAGTTCCTTTCATGATCTAATAGACCGTTTTGAAGGCTTTTGTAGTGAAGTATGTAATTTGCTATTATTGAGCAAAAAATCTGAAGTATGCCTTATTCTCCATTCATTTGTATTAATCTGATGTCTTATTTCTTTTCATGCCCCTAAGGCTTAAAGAGTGCTTTCCTTTCAGTCTGTTTCCCTGTTTGTAGCATTGTGCCCATTTTTTCCAGTTATCAGTGCATAACTCTACTGAGGTGCACTGCTCACTTTCTGAATTTTACCACTGAAGTTTCACTAGTTAACCTTACTCTTTATTTGATGGTAGAAGTAAAACTTTGGGTTTGAAAGATTATTAATAACAATTGCATAATTATATATCACTAATTAAATAAATAAAAAATAGTGGTGGCAACAATGGAAAAATCAAATATATAGGGAAAGTGTCAAAGGGATTATGTGCATTAAGAAATATATGTGTGTGTGTGTGTGTGTGTGTGTGTGTGTGTATATATATATATATATATATATATATATATCCAGCTAAATTTTCTAACCTAAACATCTGGATCTTATGCAAGTAAAGTTATTGAGGATCCAAGCCAGGCATCCTCAAACTGCAGCCCTCCAGCTGTTTGGGCCTCCAACTCCCGGAAGCCCTAGTGAGCTTCTTCAATTGTCAAGAATTCTGGGAGTTGAAGGCCAAAACAGCAGGAGGGCCGCAGTTTGAGGATGCCTGATCCAAGCAATACTGTGTATATGTGAAATTTTTAAAAACCACATAGTGTAGTTTTACTTGTTCTGTGTTACAGTACTTTTAATTATGTTTCTCTACATCAGGTTAAGTCTAGACTGTTTAATGTGAAATTTGTAAAATAAATTGTGCAGGACTCCCAGATGCTATAGGCAAATACTTTACTACTGCTACTATTACTGGTACTAGTACTATTGTAAATGCTTTATTCATAAAACTATATAAATTGTGTTTCACTTATCTCATATTAATTTTGAAACAATCTGTGTTCATTTCTACACATAATTTTGAGGCATCCTCACAATTGGGAAAATAGTCCATTTGTCAAAGTTGGTTCTCTTGTATTTACATAAACATTTTTGGCAAGTCGAAGTACCTTCTATGGTGTTGGGAGGGGAGGAGGCATCTTCTGATTGCAATTTTCTTGGAATAATACTTCTTTAGGAAAAATGTGAGAAGGTTCACATGGAAGGCTATCAAAAATCTTCCTCTAGGAAAACTGGAGTGCAAGTGGGCAAATGAGCACTAGCCCAGAGTATCCCCCACAGGAACTGGCCTTTTGCACCTTCCCCTCAGCAGTGATTCCAGGCATAGCTCTTTGAAGCAGGATTTGGATAAGAAATATTTGTCAACTAAGATTTGAATTCAGGGGCCTCTAATGTTGTTTTCACCTCTCCGGAATAGATATGTTTATTGAATCTCTGTTCCAAATCCCAGCCTGGTGAATTTTGCTATCATTCCACCCCTTCAATAAGTAAATAAATGCTGATTGAATTTTGGACTCTTGAGATTTTCCTGGTGCTTTATATTTACAGGAAATGACAAAAAATCTTATAATGTTCTCATTATACCATTTGAAAGGAATTAACATTAGATTCATATTAATATTTTTTCCATGCTGTAGTGTTACACTAAGTTTCTGAGGTGAGATAGTAATGCAAATCAGCATTAGATGTTATTAGTGCTGCTTGGTAGTTTGAGCTGATGCTCTTCCATGGTGATCAGAGAAAAGAACCACCAGGAAGAGAGAAAATCCAGGAGTTCTTCAATCCTATGGTTGAAGGGGAGAATCCAAACCATATAACTGAAGAACTCCTGGCTTTTCTCATTGCCTAGAGGATATTAATGACAGATCTGAAAGAATGATGGTATAAAAAGTTCTATTCTATTCCTTCGGCCTTAGATATTACTTTGCTGCTAGTGGTTTCCTGAATGCTGGATTTAATTTACACAGGTTAAAAAGCCTTAGAACCAATCTGAAGGATTGTTTTTTTTTCTATTCTGATTTTTCCTTGAGATCATATTTTGAGCCTTTATTCGCTTTTTCTTTCCTTTTGAGACTAAGCTAGGCAGTTGCCAATCAGCAAAGGGCTTAAGGACAGATAGAAGAATGAAGGGGGAATTACATTTTAATGTGCTTTAGGTCTGCTTATATAGATATTTAGTTGATTTATCAATCATTGTGGTTTATAGATGAAGTAACTATATTTTCATATTTAGATTCCAGATTCCATCATATCTCGTGGTGTTCAGGTGCTTCCACGAGACACAGCTTCACTTAGCACTACCCCTTCAGAATCTCCTCGTGCCCAGGCCACTTCTCGCCTCTCCACTGCTTCCTGTCCAACACCAAAAGTAAGTCCAATGCGTGGTCATCACTCAGAGGTGGGATGTCTAATGTATCTGCCTGATAAATGCTTTTGGATACTGAAGTCACGTACAAGGTTATACAGTTGAGAGTGAGAAATGAATGAAAATTAATATAGTTGGCTTGTATATTTATTGCTACCTAAGCAACTGTGTGATAAAGGAAAGAGCAGGAAAGGTCTGCTCTTCTGTTGAACTAGTGCTGTTCTTTTGTTGAATTTAGACTATGTATCTAAAATTTCTTATATGTGAACTGCAACTTTATTTACATATTGATCATGAGAATCTGAATCCCTTGTGATGCTTCATTAACCTGGGAAAGTTCCAATAATCCTGCCCCAGAATAATAGAACTGGACTAATACTGATATGCAAACATCAGTGGCTCTGAACTGTGACATTTTTCTGTCTTAGTCATATATTAACATTTTTAAACACTTTCAGATCAAATAGTTTTATCTTATTTTGGATACTTGCTGCCTTCTCTTTGGAAATTCTAAATTATATAGAAAGAAAGTTTTAATGCCAACCTTTGAGACTTATTAGTCAGGATTTTAGATACGATTTAACAGCTAATATTATTTATGCAGGTAACCCAGTGTGTTTGGTATAAAAATCATCCAGACTGTATTTTTATAGCAAATAAGGAAAATTAGGAAAGTATCATGATTTTTCAGAATATGAATTCTCAATCTGTGTTTAACTGGTGCTTTTGTTATCACAAAGCTTTTGTTCTAACATGTTTAGTATTACCATGTTTAATGGAAAACAAAGGTAGAAAAATCAGTGCTCACTTGAGCATTGTGTTTCTTGAAATGATTACAAGTGTCTAGCTATTAATTTTTAGCATATTTCATTAATTTTATCTCAAAAGCCATAATAACCTGTAGTTTAGCCATTGACTATCTTTGCTTAAATGTTGTTCCACTTTTTATGTATTCTATGCCTTGACTAAAACAGACCAGCATTATTGCTAAATTGTATTTTATATTTTCTCTTGATGAGCCTTTAGTTAAATATTTAAAATCTGTTTTTGTCATTGTGTATTTCCTGAAAAAGCATTTGCATACTTAAATATAATATCATTTGAAGAAAGCCTAGAGATTTATCAAATGTGAATGTGTAAGATTAGTAAGAACTAGATGTAGGCTCAGTTCTTGGGGTCTGTGCCTTAATTTCTCTGTGTAGAAAATGTTTATAGAAGCTAAGTTTAAGCATAATATTAGTGTTTCTATTTTTTTGTCAATCACTTTTGTTAAAAGAAAAAAATCAAAGAGAAATGTTGAAACTGTGTATTAGCAGGTGGTTAATGGCAAAGAGGATTCCATTAGGAAAGTACTTGAAATTACGTGAAACTGAAGTTTATAAAAAGTATATTTATTCTGAAGAGAAAGAATATCCATCGTTTTATTTTGGGGATTAATTCATGCAAACAAGATAAAATATTGGGTGGTTGAATGAGATCATAGAAATGTATTGCTAATCATCTTGTATGAATATTATTTCTCACTATATTATCAACTAAGAGTGTTTCAAAATAGGTTAAAATGGTTACCTTCAAGGATTTTTAAAACCTATTAATGCTTTGCAATTTGTTTAATCAAGCATATATTTTTCCTAATGCATATATGCTATTTAGTCCACATACAGAGCTATCCTAGGCTGAATCATACCACTGATCTTGACAACCTGGCAACAGACAGAGCTCTTTAGTTTCTCACTTCCTTCCATTGTTCAGTTGACCCTAGATCCTGGGCACAGTCTTGGATGGTCTACATGTAAAGTTTATAATATTGTTGTGGACTGAGGCCTCTCAAATGTTAAGGGTTTCATTTTCCCTTCACTCCAGTATTCAAGTTAACTTAAACTATATGTGCTATTTTCATGTACCAGCCACTTGTGAAAATTCCCATATCTGTACAATACACAGCCAGCTGTCTTATGACCTCACCAAACATCCTGAGCTAGTTTGAAACCTCAATGCATATGTAAATGCAAAACCCAGAATGCAGTGCTAGGAGGATTAGTCAACAATGAGTGAGTGGCTATTAAATGTTGCCTTCTGTAACTTGGAAGTGGGAGTATGGGTATAGAAACTATATTTAGTATTTAGTGCAAGAATATCTGTGTTTTCAGATTCCTTATTGCAAAAATGTAAAATTAGAATTGGTCTGAATAAATCACCCTGCTCCTTTTTCTATATTTGTCTTGAACGTTTGTAAATTACTGCAATAGAGCTGTGAATTCTTTTATAATATAGTTCATCGTAGTGAATTGGCATTGTGTCTTTTGTAGTCTCCCTGCTTCATTGGCAGTTAATAAAAGGGCTTCAGTGAAAGATCCAGAAATCTCAGTAGTGATTAATTATATACTTTAAGATATTCTCTAAACCTTTATTGGTTAAAGGTGGTTTCTTCTGACAAGCCTAGGATTAGTTTTTAATTCTTTTGAAAGCCTTAGTGGTTTAGACGTATTTCTGTTAAACTCTGAATGCCTGGCTATCTGTATTGGTGGGTTTGCTTATTCTCTGACAAGTACTTAATTATCACTAGGTGGATCAGCACTATAATTCGGTGCTTAAAATTTGGGGTACAAGGAAGTAACCCAAAGGAATCATGAACTTATGAATTCTATGAAGTACTTCTGGGGTGTTAAAATATTTCTCTTTCTAACTCATTCTGAACTTTGAATAGATAGGTCTCATGTTCTTCTAAATGCAATTTTGTTCATTGAGATTTAAATAGTATGCTGACTGAATGCATACAAAATTATTACATCAGCAAGGTTTGATTTTTTTTCCTTTGGACTTTCATGCTCTTTTTAATAGAAAATATGTTAGTAAAATGTAATGCTTTTTATTTCAATATGTACAGCTGTTTACTGTATAAAAACTGAGAAAAACTGCTTCTTGATGTATGGCACAAATATATGTAACTATTATTTTGTTATACTACTCTTTCTTCAAAATCACATCTTTTACTTTATTTTTTCATATTGTATATTATAGAACTCAATTTTCAGTAATTTATAGCCATTTATAATTCTGTGATGTAAAAAAATCTTCATTATTTTTTTAAAGCCTGCTTTTAAGGGTATTGACTTGTTAATTTCACTCTGCTAAATTATTGAGTTTAGTTGTATATTTCTACAATAGGAATTACATCATTAGTAATTTTAAGGGTCACTCAGTGGCAGCACTCCCTGCTTATTGCCCATAGATGGAAGATCACATGGAAAATTTTCAGTATGAACTAGGATGTGTGTGTGTGTGTGTGTGTAGCCAACAGCAGAGAGCAATATTTTCACAATGGTGGCAGCTGATTTTCTAATAAACAGTATTGTAGAATTAACTGTTCATTGATTCTGCTTCTGTCTGTTAACAGCTCCAGTTTACATTGGTTTCTCTTTCTCTTATCTTTTCCATACTTTGCAGTTGATTCGGACAAGCTATGTGGATCAAAACAAAATACCAAAGTCGATACTGATGTTAGGTTAAACTAGGTGAAACTACCCTTAAAAGACATCCTTAAAATCCATGTAAATATAATGAAATGAAATCTGAAATAAAATTGTATATTACAATGGTAGCTATCAACAAGAAATGTTTTCTAGGAAATAGTTTTGATAAATATCTGAAAGGCTTAAGCATTTCTAATAAAGCTTCTGATTTCCCATTCTGTTTATACAACTTTTAAGTCAATATAACTATACTTCAGTGAAACTAGGAAAAAAGAAAGAATAATGCTCATTTCAAATAAGCTTTTTTTCTTTACTGTTAAATATTTGCACTATAGCTTACTTATCTAATCCAAATGCTGTATCGAATTCTCATTTCGGCAAACATGATGTGGAATTTAATTTGCAGGAGATTAAATTTCACATTTTGTTCCTATTCTAATTTAGGGTATCAAATAAGGAATGGAGTTTGATTAAAAAAAATCAGTAACTAGGTCAAAAATTTCAGGCATTTTAAAAAGTACTTGTTAGTCATGCAGGATCATTATTTGCTGGGCACAAAGAGATGACCAGACAAGCAGCTGTACCATTGTGTACAAGCACAGAAAGAAGTGGTTTGTAGAGAAGAACTCTGTGGGAGAAATTCCAGTGATGTAAGTTGTATGTAGAAATGGCAGTCTACTGAACAGTCACTTTTCTTGCCCATTATTCTTTATCATGTGTCCTCCCCCACCCCCCAAGTGGGTCTTTTGTATTAGTCCTTCTGAGCAACACTGCCAGTAGCTTTCTAGATATGTAATAAGCTTGCATGTTGTGGCTATAATAAAGGCAAAAAAAGCTAACTGCAGTGCTTTGCCATCTTAATGAAAAAGAATGCACTAGACATTAAGACTGAAAAAGTTCTACTTAGCATGTATCTTATTTACTTGCTATTAATTAAATTTGTTTTTGCTGCTCTTGTGAATGAAACCTTTCATGTGTGTTAATTAAAATTAATATTTTTCAACAACATAGTCCAAGTTCCTTCTTGATTTCTTTAAGCCTATCTGCATTGTATATGATTAAAGTGTGTGTGAAATCTTTATGACAATAATAATTTCTACAGTTTATGGTTATATGATTATTTAAAACTATCCAGATATGTTTGTGACTTTATGAACTGTGTCCATATCATGTACAAGTCACTCTATGTTATACCATGCAAACGTAGCTGTACGTATAATGCCTTATATTTTAAAAAAATACTTATGTTTTAGTCTGCCTGGTGTTAATTTGGTAACTTCACAGGAAGGGGTACAATTATTACATAAGTGTAATTATTTTTAGAAAGATAAACTTTTCATTACAAAAAGCAGGTGAGCTTTTGCTAAACAAATGCTCACTATTTTGCAGGCTCATTTATTTCGGTGTTTACTGTGAAGATGTGTCCCACACCATGATGTTGGGATTTGTCCTATGTAGAGATTCATAGAACTGAAGTTTTAGAAGAATGAGGTGTTATTAAGTTTGCAGAACAAATTAAAAAAATTAAGT